TTGTCCCTTTTTTTCTTCTTCTCATGTTTGAGGTCTCATTTAACGCTGGCACACCTCATCATTCTGTCCCATACAGCTCACGTATCCTATATTCAGAGTTTTGACCACATATGATTTAAATCCAGCAGTGGTTTTATCTATATGTCATGCCGCGCTCCGGGCCCTTGTGCCGCCTCTGTGGTTTGCGGGGAAAAGTAATTACAACGGGGCTATAAGCCACCACACTCTGACCTCGACTGCCACATCCTGAAAGCGGTGGCGTACACTTTTAAAAGATTCCTCTCTTTTCTCCATGCAGCTTTTTTCTCATGACCCATCACAAGGTTTTAAAACCACCACCCTCTCAACATCTTTTCAGATTTTTATTCAACACTTGATTATACAACAGGTTTCACGAGGTCTTTATCTCCCACTTTTCCGTCTTCTCCGTCACTCACTCCTCTCTGCTTTTTGTCGTTGTCGTCTTCCCCTCCTCACCTCCTCTCGATTTTTGCCAGTGCCTTTTCAGGGGAAACCTCCACTCTCCCCAGTAATCACCACTTAAAGGGGAATTCCTTCCACCAGCAGTGGGCCTGCAGCTCTGCATCTTTGAAGATTTGATGGTTTGATGGCTATAATTAGCTTAAAATAACACCAATAAAGTCATGAAGCTGTAAATGTTTAAATAGCTAATGTACCGAGATAAAACAAAACACAGTCTTTGATTTTTAGCTTTCAAGAACCTCTATCTACAGAATGCATTTTGAAGCATATTCTTTATTACAGGTTAGAGATTGCAGTTTTTATACAGCATATTGATTATCTCTCTAAATTAAATCATAAACATGCACTCTATGGCATTAAGCTAAGGTATATAATCTGCTAATATTGTACAGTGTTACACATTCTTTCCTAATGCTAGAGGCTTGACAGACATTACTCCACAAGCAACGCAAAAGAGTTTAAAGGCGTAAGCAGCTGAAAAATAATCAGTATGAAGCCTATAATATTTTAACGCCGCAGTAATACTTCACGCTGCAGTGCATTGTTCATTCCGGCCAACCGCAGGAGGTGGCATCTTTCAAAAACAGGGGAAAGCCCTGAGTGTGAACAACAGACCGGGTATCCACCTGAACTGCCTCTGGAGCCAAACCGTCAGATATACCTGTCATACTCCTTCTGAGCAGACACTGAACACCTCAGCTTAGCGGACCGTGAGGAGAACTAGTGCGAGCTTCCTCCCAGGCCGACTTGATGGAGCGGCGGCTGCAGCTGGACGAAAGCACCCACAAACGCACACACTCTGTTTTTGATCCTAAATATTTCTAAGTGTATTTAACCAAACTCAGCACTGGTATGTGCCTTGCACCAGGTTGTGACTAATCCGTGGTGCCCAGAGAGGAAGTCCTTCTCCAACAGGCTTCTTTCTGCGTCATGTTGACACAACACAGCGGCCCATCACTAATCTCCTGACCCTCTCCATCGCTGGGTCAGACCTGAGGGTCATCACATGACCACAAACGAGGAGCTGATATCACAAGGGCCTCTGATTGGCTGAAATATTGCGATTGCAGCTGAAGCGTTTAATTTTTTTGTCCACTGACTCATCATATGAGAAAATCCTATCTTTTTTTCGGATGAGGTGTTCAAAGGGCCGGTGCACCCGCCTGTGTCCTCAGCTCAAAACAAATGCAGAAGTTAAACGCCACCCTTTCATTCCGCTTCATGACGAAAGCGATCTGTTTGTACACGAACTGCATGGCGACCGCAGCCTCCTGTCTTTTAATGGCCAAATAAACAAGCCGGCAGACATAATAGCTCTGTGCTTTTGTGAAGTGAAAGGGCAGAGAGCTAGTGAAGGAAAGGGTCTGGGCCCACATGAAAAGAACCAGAGAGGAGGAGAGACGCCTGGGTGTTCCTCCAGCATTGTTCGGCCTTCTGCCTCTGAGGGACACCTGTCATTGGCTGGGCGGTTTACACAGGTGCCTTAACCCAGCCTGATTTGTTGGCCTTGAAAGGAGACTTCAGTCAACAGGTAGCGTGGAGGGGAACAATGGTGACGATCCTGAGGAAGAGAGGGAGAGAGAAAGAGAGAGAGTGGGAGGAGGGTGGAGGGAGGAATGGCGAAAAAGAGAAATGGATTCTTTTGAAAGCACCTGAGGGTTTGAATGAGATAATCTGTTTGCCTTTTACCCACAGTTGGGCTTTGTAGGGCGGAGGAAGGCGTTCCTGTGTGCTTGTGGCGCTCAGGCTGTTGCTCAAGGATCCCTCCTCTCAAGAAACTCCCCCTCCGAGTGGCGAATTCAGTCGTCTATCCTCAGCCCCTCTCCGTTTCACCCCTTTCGCAACCCTGGCAGTTACCATGGCTACGCCGCCGTGCCCGCGGCTTGGTTAAATGCAGCGCTGCACAAACTCGTGGTCTCTCATGGCACTGGCACTTCGCCAAGAACCAGCCCCAATAATGTGATACTGTTGCACTAACACCACACACCCTGGCCCCGAGAGCCAAGCGGCGAGGGTTTGTTCGCACCACGTTGTTTGTGTTGACGTTTTTGAATGCATGCGTGTTTGTGTGTGGTCTCGCTGCCAGGGGGAATGCCACGCCGCCCCCCCCCTCACCCTGTGTGGAATGTGGAAGGCAAAGCAGACCTTTGACTGAGGAGGGGGAGAAACTAGATAGAGGTTAAAATTATGATTGCAATAGTGATGCGATAAGTGTAATTTTAAAATCCCCAGAATTGGATGCTGTGTCAGACCAAATCTTGAAATTTTTATTTCATGTTAAATCAAGTTGTCAAGAAATATTTTGCGATTTAAATCCAATTCTTTGGGATTTTTAATTCTGTAGTTCCACAGCTCACAAAGATGGTGATTTAGTCAAATGTATTATTGGTTGCTATAATATAAATCCAGGCTGTGGCGTAGAGGCAGGTCCTGTGGTTGGTCCTGTTTCTAGTTCACATTCCTGATAATGTGGTTCTTGACATCCAAATAATCCCTGAATAAACTTCAAATAGGACTGCATGTGCACCTGTTTCCATTTTACAAACCCAGGCAGCCACAGGTGGAAACAATAGTGGTTTACCAACCGTCCTTTATTTAGAGAGAGGCCGACCTTTTGAAAACTGAGAATGTCTCTTGTTTTCCTTCCTCTTATAACTGTGGCCATGGTGATAAAGGCACAATGTGTGTGTTTTGTGTGGAAGTGTGTTAATGTCTGAGTTAGAAAAACACTCTTTTTGTGTAATTTCCTCTTCCCCAACAAACACAAGCTCAATAAAAGTCAATTGAATCACAGTGTATCCACTTTGTGAGTGAGTGTGTGTGTGAGTGTTGACTTTTTGTAAATGTGTTTGCGGAGCACTTATCCAAGAGGCTCCAGCTTGAGTTGCTGTTGAGCTTGTAGTTGGTGAAAAGTAGATTTCTCCGTATTAGTTTAATTCTGGTTTATGAAACGTGTACATTAAGAAACATAACCAATATTTTTTTTTTTTATGTAATAATGCAAAAACAATGTCAGAAATGGGAGATGCTACAGTTTAAGAGTTTGTTCCTCTTCTGCTGGAGCCTGTCCATAAATGGTCCAGATAAGTCCAGGGAGACATTCTATGACAGTGGCCAGGGGATCAGCTCTCTCCTTTATCTGCGTCTCCCTTCTCACACGCTGGAATGTTAATGGCGGCTTTGTGATGGGTTCAGCTCTCCTGAGTGACTGACAGGCCGACTGGCAGCTCTCAAAGAAGTGGAGTTGGATGAGAGACATCAGTGTTTTTAAAAGAATGAGAGCTCTTTATTTGATTTCAAGCAGCCCCCGAGGTTAAATGAACGTTCACTCGCTGCTTGTTCCATGAAATGTTTTGTACAGAGTTTCTATTCATAGTCTTTGATAGCAGCCGTTTGTGTATCGCAAGTAAACATGGTTACTGGCAAACTTAATAACAGAAATTGAGCCTGTGTGACAGTATATCCCTATGCCAGAGCCGTAATACTCTTTGGCATATAGATATGCTGACCATCATATTTCCTTAGGTTTCTGCAGAATTCTGTAGTAAACCTGTGGGAAAGGTCTCGTAGGTCTGTATCTATGAACTCTGATCCTCGTCTAGAAACTGTAATAATGTCAGGCTTTAAAAATATCATCCATGGCAGATATTATTTAATATCACAAATAAGAATATGTTCTACAGCCATGATGGGAGGGCTGAGGCTGGCAGCTAAATCAGCTAAAGCTTGACTCCCTATCTCTGCCGTTGTGATATTCTATGCCTGGGGGCGTCCTTAAGATGTAAGTAGTTGTCTGCCAAAGATGGCTTGAATGCAGCCCTTCCATTTGACCGTGGAAACACAACACTATGGAAATAAAAAGGTTAAGGCAAGGAGACCTGGTTTGAGTGCCATGAACCCTCTCTGCATAAATGAAGGATAAAGTGGTGAAGTTCAATGAAATTATACTGTGATGAACGTACCTTTATGCCAAATCTCAAGAACGCCTCAAGAGAATTCTTTCAAATTTGGTTAAAATGTTGGACTAAGAATGAACGGATTAGAATTTCTTGCCTTGTGAACGCATTATCTTACAATTTGTCACAAAAACTTGGACTCCTGGATTAACTGATTCGATTTGCGTGTTCGAAGGTCAAATGTCAAGGTTTTGGGGGCTGCACAAAATATGTTTGTCCCTTTTATTGTGAAATCTAAAGTTTTTCTTAAGGGCATCCTTTGAACCAGTTGAGTAGCTGTCACCTGGATTCAGAGAATAACTGGTTAGGTTTCAGTGGCCAAAGGTTATAGGTCATGGTGACCTCATATAATTATGAAAGCAGTATGTCAAGAAAACCTGAAGGGATTGAAACCACACTTGTTGGCGGAGGCATTCGACCACAGGGCAGTAATTCTAGTTTTTATACAGAATGCTAAAGGGTCACAACTTAATATGAGAAAGTCTTCAGTTATTGTGCATTGGTCTGTGATGGTCTAAGTTTCTCAGCTAAAAGCTGCATTGGCATCTTGCTGTCTTACAGGCTACCTGTCCAAAGTGTTGAGGAACTACACTGAGCAGGCCTGTGAAGGGGACTTCCTGTCTGTTCGCTGCCCGCCACGCACCACCATCACCGTCCAATCAGCTTTCTATGGAAGGAGAGGTGCTTCTGACCCCCAGCAGTGCCCTCAGACCTACCAGGCCCTCCTTAGTTCTTACAACGCTGGGGAGGATGTTCGATATTGTTCTGTGTCCACGGCTCTACAGGTAATCAACACCGCTCACAGTCTGGACAGTTTCAGAGAAAATCTAACTAGAGTTTCCCTAAATCCCTGCATGTGTCTGTACAAGAACTACTGTGTCCCCTGTACCCTTATCCCCATTATTTGTTACTCTACTCTTAACATAAAGATCCTGTAACACACCCTTGTCTGGGCTGTAAATCCCCCTGAGAGAAAGCGTCCTGTAAAATGGTCAAATTGGCCAAGGGTTAAATTTCGGAGGACCACTGATTATGTAATGCTTTGTGAGGAGGTTTTCCGGCAAATTACACTCTGTAAAGAGGAAGCAGGCTTGTATGTTCCCATCACACAAAGCGATTTCATGGGGTCTTTGCCTCAGCATCCTCTCCTAAATTGGGATGCGGCTGGACTAGAAGCCCCACTTTGCAGCACCAACACAAACACACACAAACACGTCCTGTTCAGCATTCATTTGGTTGTTTTGTTTATTCTTGGTCCCCCTGCCTCCGAGCGTTGAACACCCTCCATTTCCATAATAGACAGGACAGCTATGAATGCACACAGAGACTGCTTTGTGGTGAAGTGAGAGAATTACTGACCGCCACCCGCATTAGTAACCCTGAAGAAACCTGTTCACGACCCTTGTCCTGTTGGTATTACAGTTTAAAGAGCTGTACCCCAATGATTGTTTTATTTGTGAATTATATTCTTAATTATTATATTTGTTTATTAAATGAAGAAAACAAACATTGTGATAATATCATATTTTCTTTCTTTCTTTAAGACGACACCAGCTCTGTGAGGCTGAACCATAGACTGTATATAAAGATGGTCAACACGACTGCTCTCCAAAAGTAAAGCCAAAGCGTTCTGATCGCCATCTGGTGGCTGGCTGCAGTATAGATCATAAATTCTGCCTCCTCCATGTTTGTGGGTGGGACATGGACCAAACTAAAAAGTCAAAGTGCACATCCAATACAATTTTTAGTAGTAGTTTTTGTCACATATGTGTAGGTGCTGAAGTTTGGTTTTGATTAGTTATTTGTAGTTATAACTGGTCGAGGGAGTGAATAGGCGGGACGTTGCTACTGTGGCTAAGTCCCATGATCATATTCTGGAAAGACGCTGGCTCCTAATGAGCAAGATGGCAGCGTCCATATCCATTATATTTCAGCTTCATATCAAGTGGAGAAGCGTCGTCTATCTTTATATGCAGTCCCAACAGTGATACTTTGAGCTAAATGCTAACATGCTCTCAATGACATTGCTCTACTTAACAAACGACACACACAGCGAGGACCTACGTGTAATTTTCAGTGTGTTACAGAGGAACTTAGGCAGATCATGTCCATTATTTCCTTGTATTAGGCTACTGCACTTTCCACTTCCAGTTTCTACGTTCCACGACTTGTTGCACCTAATGCTTCTGTTTCACAGTTGAATATGGGAAAGTGTCAGAACAGAATCCATTCAGCCATCCCTCCAGCGAGTGGGATTTCAGTCGGGGGGAATGTTGGAATGTGCTCACCTGGGTTACAGCGAGCTTAAAGATGATGAAACTAGAGAAGCAGCAGGATGCCAGGAAATGAGTGGTATTGAGCTTTCCAGAGATTTTTTTCCCCTGTTCTCTTTTTTTTTTTCCTCTGACCTGCTCCTGTCCTCCTTATTCCCATGGCTATAAGCAGCCCCGTTTGAAGTGGTTTTGGGTTTGCTCGCTGCTGGTCTCACCGTCGCTGGCTTATTGTTCTTCACCTAAACTTTTCTTTGGTCTTCTCTCGCTCTCTGTCACTCTTTCCCCCTTTAGAAAATGCTGGACGAGTGCCAAGACAGAAGGAGCTGTCAAGTCCTTGTCAACAGCCGCGTGTTCGGGACAGACCAGTGTCCTGGCATCAGTAAATACCTCATTGTCTGGTACAAATGCAGACCGAGTAAGTCCTTCATCGCCTCACATCCAGGCACTGACACACATTTTGTCCTCTCTCTGTGTTCGGACTTTTCTTTCTCTTTTACAATATTTGCTCAGAAATAGACCAAGGGGTGGGGTCACTTCATGTGCACTAGGGTCAACTGCATTACAGGTTTAAGAGTGAAAGGAAATCCATTCTATTCTTATTATTATTATAGGTATTGAGCAATAACTTATCCTCTCTGCTCCATTTGAAAGAACTTGTTGCGTGCCTCCTCCTTTATTCCTCTCGGCCCCTCTCCCCATGAGTCAGGAAGCTAAGAGTATCACTCCAGATTGGAGCCACAACAGTGAAGTAATCCCACCCAGATTCTCGTCTCCATTCATGGCTCAGTGCCGCGCTGAGCCGCGCTGCACTGAGTTGTGCAGCAGTTCACACTAGAGTGACCAGAAGTGGACATTAATCCACTGATCATCCCCCCCACCCCCTTCCCCCCCCACTTTTTCTTTCTCCACCGTAGCCTGGGGCCAATCAACAGCTCTTTGTTCACTGTCACTTAACCAATGACTTCTCAGGGGAAGAGAGAATGACCGCATGGGGCGTTAGTGAGGTGCAACGGGCAGGTGTCACTGCCTCTGAAAGGGAAGGTGGAAGGAGGACAGAGGAAGTGGAGGAGAAAGGGAGGGAGTGAGAGAACAAGAGCGAATCAATCACCAAAAGACATAACAAACCAGCCCATCCCTTTTTTTCTGCTCTCTCTTCTGTGTGCATTCCTGTTCCACTCCCCACATGGATGAAGAAACGGCCTCTGTTGTGTTTTTCTTTGCCGGCCAGTGGAGCTGCTCTGGCTGTCACAGGTCACTGTGGCTGGATGTGTGTGAGGAATGTCTCTGCATGGCTCTACATGTCCACTGCGCAACTCCATCTCTGTTTCTACCTGTTTACACTGAATAAAACCAGGCCTCTGTACTCCGTCTTTATTTAAACCTGCTCTACAGAGGTTTCATAGAATACAAACATTTGCTTCTTTCATCTTGCAAATGCCATTTTTTAAATATAGAAAATTAAAGCATGCATAGAAAGTGATTATTTTATCCATGACTGAAACTCTAAATTACATAAACTATTCTATTTTGCTTTTGTGTTATTCTCTGCTCTAACATTTCGTATCCTCTCTTTTCCATCTACAGACGAGTATAAGAGTAAGGTGGTTTGTGAGGAGGATAAGATGAGGCTGAGCTGCAAGCGGGGCATGCAGATCGCCGTTTACTCCGCCATGTTTGGCCGAACTCAACAGGGCACCCTGGAGTGTCCCCTTCATCACCTGAGGGCGCCATCAGTAGGTGAGACCCGTTCTTACTTCCACGTTGCAGGTCACGAGACGGGTGAGTAGTCGAGGAGGCTGCATTTCTGTCAACGGAGGTGGTTGCAGTTTTCCATGATTTAAAAAATAAGCCAGGTCATAATGTAAATGTTTACTAAGTGCAGATGTTTCGCACTAAATTAAGTTGTGATGCACCGATGAAGCTACATCTCACATTAAATTTACTTGCCACCAGATATTTACATATAGAAACAGACATTGCTAACCCTTGGACAAAGGATTGACATGTTCTTTTAGCATTTATCCACAGACTTAAAACGACTAGTGCAACCCAATCAATCAGTTAATAAATCAATCAATCATTCACTTCATTTCTATTTGATGCTAATTTCGTTCATAGCATTGGTTGTGGGTCAGTCTGAGGTCAGGAGAGGAGTGAGATTTCTTACATGAAGTCACAAGCTGGGAATGTAAATCAGGTGTTCTTGGGTTTGCATGATGTTTGCTTGAGCGTCCTTGTCCTGCTATTGCTATTCTACATACTAATGAATTGACAGAGTGGAACTTAAGGTCAACCTGGGCTTTGATTTGCTCTTGTCACACCAGGTGTTGTGCAGCCGATGGGGAAAATAAAACTGATGAGTTTTACGTGTCGGGGCTCGAAACACCTTTGAACTCAGAACTGCAAACACTGCCAGGATCTAAACTGCAGCTGAATCTCTCCTTCATAAATTATCTTTGATTCGAGAAGCTAGCGTTGCTTGGTGGATTTTATCATTTCCTCTCCTGCTTCTTTGCTTCGCAGGCTCTAGAACAAACACTGGTCCGCCACACCCATACGTGACGTTATAGCCATTCCCACACTTTCAACCCTTTCTACCTGGATAACTGATTAATAACTTCCAAATAAAAGTCTCTATCTTGTTCTGAGACATATACAAGCAGCACACACACACATTGTCAGGGGAATTGTGGTGGAATGTAGATCAGATGTCTCTGTCATCCAAAGCGCAGAGTTTGGCCCGTTGAAAAGGGACAGTATTGAGTTCCCTCCAAGTATGTGTGTGTGTGTGGGGGGGGTGGGATAACCAGACCTACTCTAGCTCTTGTTTAGGAGAATGTTAATGACTCTAAGCTTGGATACATGACAAGTCTTATAGTATAGTAGCTACTGTGTCGGGGGGGCCTTGCCTCTTTGCCGGGAAGCTCGTTTATTTGACGTTTGTTTTGTTGTATGTACAGAAGGAACTGTACGCTGAGGTTTGTAAATAAGTAGCCAGAGCAGGTGTACGTTAACTGTGTGCTCGAAACAAACAGACTGCGTAAAGCTGCGGAGGAAGGCTACAAGTCATCGGCTATGATTCATGATTCAAAAAGTACGAATCAATGCAAAGTCCTAATAAGAATGTGTGTGAGGTTGTTTATGTGTATTATCGTCTTTATGACAGGTGACACGATGGGGTCAAAGTAATGACACCAGCGTCAGTCACCAGGTAACAAGTGTTATTTATAAAGAATAGCCATGTGTGTGTTTGTGTGTTATTGTACAAGCAGCTGGTCCTGTGCATGCAGGTGGACCAGGAATGTGCGACAGGTAGGTGTAGCTGACCTGAGATCTGGTTTCAGACTCAGGATTAAATGCAGGAGCTGAGTTTGACTCCACTGTTACAGTTGTATAAAGGGCAGATTAGAGCTGAGGAGTCGCTGTGTTTCCTGTCAAATCACATGTTAACCCTGATGTGTTTACCTCAACTGCAGGCTCAGACATACACAAACGCCTTGTTGTTCCTGTCCGACCATCCTGCAGCATGCTTTTCTATCTGTCCATCACATACACACACATGCACACACACACTCCAACCACCCACCAACACCTCCTCAGGCTGTGGGGCTCTAGCGGTGCCCTGGTGGGATTTTCCCTGTCAGCTCCGTCTTTGATGTGGCTCCCATGTCACTGGGAGCAGGAAGTGAGGGTGTCTTGAGTGACAGCTCAGACACACACCGTTAATTATTTTTAAACGCTCTTCCCCCCTCGTTTTGCCCTTCTGTCCGTTGGTGGTGCTTTAGCTAATGTGTGTGTGTGTGTGTGTGTGTGTGTGTGTGTGTGGATTTGTGATTCCTTGAGTCTGAATAATCTCGGGCTTTGGCAGTCGCGTTACGCACACGTTTGTTAAGAGCCCATTTGGATTTTACGTCCATTTAAACATGTGTTTGAATGGGCCAAGGTTCTAGTAATCTCCTCAACTGCACCACCCTGGCAAGCTGATCGCTGCCTGAGGTGTGAGATCAACGCCTGAACGCACAGAGCTGGGTGCACCTGTCCAGGTGAACTCTGGGTGGAGAGAGATTGCAGTGTGCGCGGCAGCAGCAGGGATTTACTGGTACACTGTTTACTCTACAAAGAATCACCTTACATGTTCTGTTTCATCCAAAGACTAAGATTGTAGTGTAACAATCGCCACCTGCCAAACAGTGGTGGATGTTTTTTTCTCTGAGTCAACTGTAGTGAGCCATAGAGGCAAGTGTGGCTCAAGAGGTAGAGCGGGTAGTCCACTAAACACTTTAAACATACAGTATGTATCTTAGGCTGCTCTCAATCAAAATAATAACAAAATACGAGTACGTCGTGAAGCAGCTAGGGATCATGGGAGTCTTCACCACAATTTCTTGTCCTATAATCTTCTTGGGACTTTCTGTTCCCTTTGTGTTTGCGCTTGGACAACTTCGGCCACAGAGTGTGCAGCAAATGGCAATGCATAATCGTGATCCATTACGAGCGACCAGTACAAACAGTGGAAGGAAAAACAGCCCAGTGGTTAACTGACTACCTGGTGAGCAGTGTTTCCCTCCATCACATGTTGTTTGCACCAGACGTTATTGCAGAGAGAAGCAAAGCCCCAAAGGCAAAATAAAATGTCTCTAGTTTAACAATGTCAGAAACATTTTTTTAATTATAATATTGTTACTTTAATTTAAGGGCACAGGTCAACAAAGTATAAAACACAGGTCTTATTGCTTTTAGACACTTGAAAAATTGTCTCATATTCTTCTCCTCCTCTGGAGGTAGGCCTGCTTCGGTAGCCTGGTGAATGGAGAGCAGATATCAGCTGCCTCGCTGAATCCAAAAGCCGTGGAAAAGTGCAACACACAAAAACAAGTGCACACACAGGCATGTGCACATCAAGACCTTTGATGTCGCCTGTTCCTTGGTTGTGGGGTGGGAGTGGTGGAGTCGGACAGGTCTTGGCGGCGATAGAGAATCCTCAAAGCAAAGGGGCCTGTTCAGCCCTCCTCTCTCATCTGCCCCATTACCATCACACACACACCTCTTGACATCTAAATAGCCCCCCATGCTTGGCATGCAGGGTCCCAGACTGCATTTTTTATTTTTTGCGTTTTCACTTTTGAGCATGCGCTTCAGACGAATGCCCTCAGTAAGATGTTTTCTAACTATAAGCTCGGGCTGGTTGGATGATCACAGTAGTTTTTAAAAAGCTGGGCATGCACAGCTGCAGGTCAAATTTAACACTTGGCTGTCGGAAGCCTGTTCCAGTTGTTAGGGTTCGAGCTGCTCCGCTGTAACTCTATCTGCACTGCTACTCGGCTGCGATGCACGGCGAGCAGATAAATAGCAGGATGTCAGTGATGTCTTTGACTTATGGTTATGGGTGTTGAACTCTCTTTTGAAGGAGATTTCAGTCAGTGAACGGTAGATGGTAACTTCTCCAAAACATTTCTAAAAGTTTGCCCAAGTATGTCCCAAGAACTTCACACTGCTTATCATGACAGCAGATTAATTCAAGCTTTTGTTGATTTCCAATCAGATGTGTTGTTCTAATATCTGAAGTAAAACATAGCCACTGGTAACACGTGAGTGGGGTCGACTGTTTTCATGCAAAGTGCTTCTGACTCTGGGAATAACCTGCTATCACCTTACAAACACAGCTGAGGGAAACTCTCTTGCATGCTCATGTACATGTGTGCACGCATGTTTCTGTGCAGGGGTGTTGTGACACTTCAACAGAGGGAATAACTTGAAACATACTTTAAATCTTGAATCCTCTGTGTTGATCCTGTTGAATAGACCGTTTACAGTAAATGTGAGTGTCAAATTCTTTAATGGATTTCACAGAAAGCCCCTGCCGTGTGCAGGTCCTTTAAACCCCCCCTCTTTAAAAGTCACCTTTATATTATACAAAGACTTTCAATCCCACAACAATGACTTAAGCCTCCCTATCAAATTATATGTATGGCAGGTGAGTCAGAGGAGAAGATGAGATGAGGAGATGAGTGCTTTTGAAAAGTTTGTCCGCCCATTGTTTTGGAAATTCCAGGAAAGGTGTTTATGCGTGGGTGGAAAACCAGGAGGATTGTTATGGAGAATTTCCGGGGAAAGGTTGCTGTGGATACACTCTTTGTGCATGTGCGTGTGTGTGGGACTGTTTGTGTATCAGAATGTGTTTACATGCTCAGAGGTGTGTTTTTATGTGTGTGGGGGACACACACACACACAAGCACTGCCCTATAAAGTTGTGCAAGGCAGTCTTTAAGTCTGTCAACATGTAGTGTACCCACAACACAAACCTGGGGTTAAATTTGGGGGTGGGGATGATCACTCCTATATTAGGTGAACCAAAGGTTTATCAGGAGCTATTAAAGAGACCGGAGCTAAAACCAAGTGTTTCAGACAGAGGCTGTAAAGAGGATCTGCAGCAATGGACAGTATCAGTTAAGTGAGCCACTGTTTCACACATTAGTGTGGATTTTTGTAGATAATTCTGCAGAGGTGGGAAAACCGGCATGTTTACTGAGAAGGCACAATCTGAGGCCGATGGTCATTGAAGCGAGCAGAATGTACGACGGATGACTGACCAAAGTTGTTGAGCCATGTCGAGGTGCCAGCATATCACCACTCTAACATAATGACAATACACTAGGGGGTGAGCAATCAACTATGAGTCATTTAAGAGATACGTACATGCCCTATTTTTTGTGGCTCTCTGTATCTGACCTCTATGTCGCATGTTTGCCGCAGGAAGCTCCTCCCTTCCCTCGCTCGTTGCTTGTCTTGACTGTGGCCCTCCTCTTATGCACCACAGGCCTGTCCTTGTTGGGTGTGTAGCGGATAGGAGGGTTTGGTGCACGGGCTTGGAGTTGGTCGAGGGTAAAGGTTAGAGGTAACTGGGGTTATTCATGCCTATTCCCCTCGCCCTGTGTGTGTGTGTGTGTG